TATATATATTTATATATTTAAATTTTGTAATCTAAATAAGTGCAAAGTAATAGTAACTGTATGATAATTTTTTTACATCACGTTTTACTCTCTTAAAAATTCGATTAATATGTATTTTATACCAAATATGCATAAAAAATTTTTAATTAAAGTAATTTGAATTTCAAAAAGGATTGTAACAACTTTGTTACATATTTAATTACAACAGCTGGAGTCTATCAAATCAAATTTAACATCAGAAATTGAAGCAGAAGGATCCGTAATGACGGAACTCGTTCGTGCACAATCTGCACTTGTCTTGAGACCATCTCATACTGCGACGGTATCAATTTTTTTAATATTTTCAATTTTTTTACATAAAATTTATTATTTTAAAATTAGTACATAAATTTGTAGATTTATCGAGCACGATCAGTACCAGATCTTACTCTTTACAGTCGTTATACATCTGCCTGGCCATATCGTTACTACCGAAACTGGGATTTGGTAAAGCTTCAAATCAAATCAAAAGCTGCATAATGTCATCCATATCATTTTTTCTGTTTCTTTCATTCCCAATCATATGATTAGTTTCTTGAAAATGTTAATATTTAGACGTGATATAAATTATTTCAGTATTCTTCAGACTAACTTTTATCATTCATGTTTTTGTTTGTTAAAAAATGTGATATGATAACAAACAATTTGAAATTTTTATGTTTTATCATTCTTAATAATAGCTATTATTAAATTTATTTTACATTGAATTAATGATTTTTTTACACCATTATAAATATTGCAACTACAGTATGATGACTACTGGTACGATCGTTATTACTCCTACAGTCCATTGTATCGTAGTACATTTTATCCCCGTCGTTACTACTATACAAATTACACATTGAATCCATACAGTTATTGGAACTATCCATACAGTTACTGGAGTCGTTACAAGGAATATTTGTAGGTATTTTGAAAATTTTTTTTGAATAGTAAAATGATTGAGAAATCAAAAATTTTTGATTTGATTTATTGTTCAAAAAATTTTTTCTCACTGTTTGCCAGCTTTAAGTGACCTTTATCATCCATTTCGCTGTACAGGTTAACTTTGTCAAAATCTTATAATTCATAAAATGTAACGATTTTTCAGGCATAGTTATCCATCATATTACAGTCGTTATCATTATTATTACGACGATTATCCACGCTATCGTCCTTCATATTCATATCCGTATCGTTCAACTTATTTTTATTCGCCATCTGATCGATACTGGCTTTCCTCTGTCTACTGGGATCGACGTTTTAAAGTATGTGATCTTAGTTAAAAATGTTTAGTATCTTTAAAAGATTGATTAATAGCCACAATTAATTATGATTTATTATAAAGCTTTCTTCATGAAAGCAATGCATTACAGTACCATTTTAGAAGCAGTTTATACAAAAATGACAAAGACTGATACAAAATAATATAAATTTTATAAGAAAAAGTGATATTCAGTTTTCAACTTCTATTTTCTAAACATGCACTCTTTGTGAAGCTACACTATTTATTCTTAGAATTTTAATTGTCATTGCTTTTTCATCCTTTGCTTGATGGCAGTTGACACTTTTGGATTTTTAGCATTTTAAAAATTTTTTAAAATTGTTTTAACAATGCGAAAAAACACATACAACAAATTTGTATGCTGTGTTAAATTTGGGTATTTTATTGCTTTCATTTAAGACATATATATTTTTTCAAACTTTATAATATTTTCTGTCGTTATGTCCACTAATAATATTTTATATTTTTGTTAAAAAAATACATAACTTTGAATGCAAATCAAAAAAGTTTGAACTAAACAAGAAATACAAATAAATTTACTCTTCTGAATTACAGATCAATGTATGAACATGTTCACTTTTGCGACTTAGTGTGCTAAATAGCTTTGAAAAGTTTTAACAGATATAAGCAACTTTTTAGTGCATTACTAGCATACATAATAACTTTCCCTTTTTCATATATTTTGAAAACTTCTATTTCATTATTTTCTCTATTAATAAAAGCATTATTATTATTCTTGCTCTTACTTTATCTCAATGTTATTATAAATTCTCAATGTTATTATAAATTCATTAAAAAAGCTATGCGATCATAAAGTTTGACAAAAAATTTTTGAAATTTCGCTCATTATTTGCTTTAGGTTTTATAAGTCAATTCAATTCTGCAGGTTTCTTTTTTTTTTGCATAAACGAAAAAATATTTTAAGAAAACTTATATCTTACTTGTGATTTTTTCCTCACATTATTTATTCTTCCATAATATGATTTGAAGTGCAACGAATTTCCAATCTCTTCAAGTTTGCAGTGCTGCCATTTTTTATAAAATTTTAGTTTTACTGATAAAACGAATTATAATTTTTGAAATTGGCTGACAAAAAAGATTTGATTCCTTAAAGATTACAGTTATTGTCATGCATTTATCTGTTTAATATTACAAAGATAGCAGTTCTAACATATTTCTGAAATTTGATACTACTAAATATATTCAAACATTTAAATTTTCCTGAATTAAATTTGATTTTAACATAGGCTAAGAAAATAATGCTTTTAATCGTGGATTACGATCAATTCATATTTTCAAATGCCAGAAAATACGCTCAAAAAAATTTTTCAAGTGAAAAAAAGATGAAATAAAATTTTGTATATTAATCATATTTTTACTTATTTGTTTCAAGTACTGGTATTATTAATATCCAACGTCTGAAATCTACCAAATAGGATTGGTGCGAACAATATGTTTGGAATAAAAATTCATCTATTCAATCATATTTCGATCATCGTGGAGGTCGACAATATCGCACCACATGGGAATTTAGCTTGTAACAAAGTAATATATTGCACTAAATAATTTCACAAACCAATGAATTCATTATTTATAAGCGCTAATAGTTATGTTTTTGTCAAAAATCTGATTTCAAATGTTATACTTTGCCTAAATGGATTTATATTAAAAAATTCACAATAATTTGTTGTGTAAGAATATATTTACTCATATTTAGTTTCAAATTGAAGCTTAATTACATTAGCAACAGAAGAGAAATCTACTAATCCCACAAAGTATTACATTTTTTTTTGAAATGAATTTTAGTATTTGTATACCTCATGCTAAATTGCAATTCATCATTAATTATAGCACGTTTGTTTTTATTTTGCAGAAAAATTTTTTATAAATTAAAAAAATTAGATCTTTTCGATCTTTTTAATAAATTTTTTGAGCAAAATCATGAAACAATCCAAATTAATACAAATTGTACCTTGCAAATGAGTACATCAAATGTGCTATACAAAAAAATTATAGCAGCTTATGATTAGCTATGTAAAAGGTATATTCGTAATGTCTTTTCTTAGTCTGTGCATAAATAAGTTTTTGAAAGTAAAAATCATGACTAATTTTTACTTCTAATGTATTCATTGGTTTGATTTTTTAATGAATGGCATTTATAAGGAGCGCTTTTTATGTAATAGAAAAATCTCTGAATACTTTGAAAAAAATTATTAAAAATATGGAAATATTTTTGATATTTTTTTCTTATGCATAACAGTTTTGTAGTTATTAACATACATTGCAATTCCATGGATTTGTGCTTCAAACACTAAAATAACGACACATGAAAACTTACCAGCCTATCAATGCTTCAATTTTTTTAAAATCTGTTATGATTTTCACCTTCTGTATTATTATACTCAAAGACATTGTACGGTATCAGTTATATATTTAGATATTTTGAATTTTCAAATTTTTTTTTTTAATAAATACTTTTGTACCTTTTTATTATGGCTGCCATTAGTGCGAACTGCCTTTTCAATTGTGAAATGAAAAATTTATTGTAAACATGCGATGCTTATGCTCTCGAATTATTTAATTTTCTTCTGGCTATTTTTTTTCTTTGCTTATTATAAGTTTTTGTAACATAAAAATTACATGCTGGAAGTTTCACGTTACACGTCATTCAATATTATTATGCATTACCTTTTTTTCACTTACAAATATTTCATATGAAAAAAGTGGTAAAAAAAATGCGACAAAAATTTTTTTCCACTGATTTTAATATACTGCGTGCTTGAAAGTGAATTTCAATGGTGGAAAATTTTTGTACCGATTATATGCAGAAAATATTTCTGAACTAATGCTTTTATACTCTTAATAAAGCATGAATACTTGACAAAAATAAAGAGTACTGACCGAAAAAAATAAATTTTAATAATTTAGTTCACATAATTTCAGCTTCAATGAATAATTTAGAAGCCTCAGTAATTGAGAAATCCATTTAAATACAAACAGTTTTAATAGCTTAATTATTTTAAACGATGTGAACAGATTAAGATATATGAACGTTTTATCATTTTTTGGATTTGTTTTTGATATATACAAGTTCATAGAAGAACCGTCAAAAAGTTTTGTATGATTTCAGTGGTTTTTATGGTTTTTATTGGAAAAAAAAGGAATGAATTCATCAAAATTCAGGTTGAAAAAAGCTTTATGCTGTCATTACTGAAAATGTAAGCGAAAAAATATGGAAAAAAATATTCAG